CTATTTCAAAATTAAAAACACATTTGGAATACGTTAGAACTTTCGAAATTATAAGACTTAATTTCTACACAATCAAAAGAACGCAAAAACTATGTGCAGTATGTGTGGTTAGATTAGGTATCTATGTGAAAATAAAATAAATTTATGTAAAAATCTGTAATAAGTAACTGTGCAGTGTGGAATCGGCGACTGTGTGAACACGTTTGTTGTTCATGTTCACGTTGGTTGATCGTAGAGGTGTGAAATTTAGGGGCTGTATGTATAAAATAAAAACAATTATTTTTTTAAATAAAAATTTACATTTTCAGACTTACTGAATGTGCATAAAATATTTTATAAGAATCGGTCGAGCTGTTTCGGAGGAGTATGGGAACGAACATTGTGACACGAGAATTTTATATATTAGATTAAATCAACCGGAGAAAATAATTGGTTAATAAATGTAAAAAAACCGAGAGGGTTGGAAATGCCTTGTTGGAGGCCTTCACCCACCAACATTACATGAGACATATGGTTTTGGATTTTTTATAATTATTATTCGTAACAAGATTGACAAGATTTTTGATAAAAGGCTTCTGTTTATTTATTATTTTTCCGGCTTCACCAATGCTAAGGTGTACTTGAGTAACATGGGCCATATTTATTTCGAAAATAGTTGAAATAAATGTCTAGGCGTGTAAATCCGGGACAGGCCGCTAATCTATAGTATGAATGATAAACTTAAATTCTACATTAATACACTAGAATGTATAGAAATGTATAAACAATGTTATAATGAATGAATAAGAAGTCCTTAACCTAAATCTTAATTAAGAATCACTAACAGATTTATCTTAATTACCCTTAGGACGTTAAAACAAGACGTCAGTCAGATCATAAAAAGCCTCTAAAATATTGTATTTAAATTAACGAAATTAAAATCGCAGAATAACCATGACCGCTCTAACAAATAAGTCCATATTTTCACTGTGGGCCTAAATCCAGTCCAAACTCTCAAGTGATATTTAGTTAGTAAGCAAAATAAACAACCACCTTGATTACAGTGATTACATTCAAGGAAGTGATTAAAGTCGCAAGTAAATAAGCACGAAATAATGCTTTATGACAGTGTGTATTTTATCATCTGATAAATGCACTATTAAGCTTTTTTATATCAGCTAACCTTTTAAAGATAAAATGTATTAATTTGAAAAAAGTTTAGTGTTAGGGTGGGTCCTTAGTTGAAACCTCATCTTTGGTACCTCATCTTGGGTATAGACCCTCTCCAGCTTATGCCATTCATCTTTGGATTTCGACACTACCATCCATATCCATCTAATCATCATAGCTGTGGCGAGCAAGCCATGATTAGAGGACTAACCGGCGTTTTTTTGTTGTACCCCCGCATTCGTCGTTTACCGCATTGGCCGGGCCATTTTTTATATGTTTTATCTGCTCGCGTCTAATTTTATGGACTTTTTCAATTAATAGACCACAAGCCCATGAACAAAAAATACCTGTGAAATGACCCAACGTGAATTACGCTTAGAAGGCTGTTACTATATCTGAAAATAGCTCTGAGCACTATGCCGTCATTTCTGAGCGGTACATGTGAGTACGTGAGTGAATGGACTTTCTCAGGTACAATTGGGGAATTTCGACTTATTATTAATGTACGGCTTTGTTATAAGTGTATAGATGATTAAAAATAAATGTCGAAAAACCTAGTGCCGTACTAAAGTGATGGTGCCGGAAGTCGGTGCAAATTTTTAATTCGACGACAGTTGCAGAAGCAATATAGGTAATTTATTATATTTATTTAAGGTACGGCATTTGTGTGATTCCTTTTGGACACAGATACAGATACTTTACCCGTAAACGCCGTACATATTTCCAGCGGAGCGGTCGAAAGCCAAGGGTCGCAACATATGTCTGATTAGCATATAGGTGATGATGATATAGAACAACATAAAATTAAATGATCTTGAGAGTACTTCACAAATAGATAACATTTTCCAGCATGCCGTACATTTTTTGTGGAACATATAGGTGTATGGGGTAAATTACTTTCCTCAGAAAAGAGTCATTTTCCGGTGATTTTTATCTGTACGGCAATAACTCAGGTTATTAATACTTTAGACCATCTTCAATGAAAGATAAATGCCGTACACTTTTGATAGTCCGCTAGTCTGTAAAATGGCAAATTATACTACCGCCTACCAATACAGGGCGTCCCAAAGTTATCGGACATGAAGGGAAAGTACCTTAAATATCGTAGATAGGGTATTTTACTAAAAGAAGACTTTATGTTATTTTTAAAAGTTAGTATTTCTGCATTCAAAGATTTTCTAAAAATTACTTGCCTCGTCTGGGAATCGAACCGACTTATATGTAAAAAAAAACACCCCTACTTTTATGATGCCAATCGAAAGAATGGCCAAAAACTAATAACTCTTCTTAAGTAACATAGTATTTTAAAAGAAAGGAACAGTGTGAATATATATTTTTAATCAAATTAAAAATATTATCTATCGTATTCGGCCTAAAAAAATCCCCTACGAGTCTGTTACTTTAGAAAAGTTATTAGGTTTTGGCCATTCTTTCAATTGGCATCATAAAAGTAGGGTGTTTTTTTTTACATTTAAGCCGGTTCGATTTCCAGACGAGGCAATTAATTTTTACAAAATCTTTGAATGCAGAATTACTAACTTTTAAAAATAACATAAAGTCTTCTTTCAGTAAAATACCCTATCTACGATATTAAAGGTACTTTCCCTTCATATCCTATAACTTTGGGACGCCCTGTATTATATTTTTATTTTTGTTAAAAATATTTTTCCTTTACCTCTCTCTGCTGGTATGATAAGGCTGTAAATATACTTTACAGCCTTATGGTAGTATACTCAGATACGTACAGTTATTAATGACCTTAAGGGACACCTCAAACGTCGTCGAAGTTTTTATCAGCTGTAAAGAATAATCTGGAGTAAAATGTACGGCATCTGGTTTTTTTTGTTTATTTATATTTGTTACATATAAAATAATAATAATCTTTGAAAATATTACTACCCATATTACTCTAGGAATATTTGAAAAGTCATCTAAATTTCGGAAATTTCATATATTTTTTATCATAATATTTTTATTTGTTACCATTTATAGTGAACGGCTATAAGATACAACGGTAATATTTAGTAACATTATGTAAAAAAACAAGTTGCCGTACATTATTCTCTGATCTTACAGCAGTAAGAACTCGGTAAATCCTGAAATTTCGATAAATATTTATTTACACAAATATTAACTATAATTTTTGGACGGCATAATTATAAAACATTATTGTCCGTGTTAAATAATATTTTGAACATGTTGCCGTACATTTTACAATGACCTTAGGGTATATGGGTGTAGGGGTTGGGTTGCGACCCTTGGCTTTCGACCGCTCCGCTGGAAATATGTACGGCGTTTACGGGTAAAGTATCTGTATATGTGTCCAGAAGGAATTACACAAATGCCGTACAGTAATAAATGACCTATATTGCTTCTGCAACTATCGTCGAATTAAAAATTTGCACCGACTTCCGGTACCATCACTTTAGTACGGCACTAGGTTTTTCGACATTTATTTTTAATCATCTATACACTTATAACAAAGCCGTACATTAATAATTAGTCGAAATTCCCCAATTGTACCTGAGAAAGTCCATTCACTAACGTACTCACATGTACCGCTCAGAAATGACGGCATAGTGCTCAGAGCTATTTTCAGATATAGTAACAGCCTTCTAAGCGTAATTCACGTTGGGTCATTTCACAGGTATTTTTTGTTCATGGGCTTGTGGTCTATAAGTTTATACTTAATTAGCTTAATTGCATAGTTTTGAATAAAACTGATGATATTTACTTACTTCTTGCATAATTAGGGTATCAAAACGTTTGTGAGGATAGATGCACCAACCAACCGACTTTTAGTTTTTCTTATATGGTATCTTATGGGTATTTAAAAAAAAACATTTTTTTTTAATTACCCATGCCTATGCCTCTACTATATCATATCTAAAAAATAAGTACATACAACAGCGCCAAAGCCTATTATTACAGAAGCTTTGCTAGGTGCTGCCACAGATAAGTAAGGAACGTATGATAAAGATGGCGCGGTTTGACTCTACATTATCTACTTCGACTATATTATCTAATGGAATACTACTGCTATTCCATACACAATAACAACTAGTTTTGTGTCGATATCATATAAACTTTGTTGGCGTAGTGAAGAGCGCGTGGTGAGTCCATAAATTAATTTGCGGACACAACCGGATATTTGTTTAGATAATTAAATATATAATATATCGAGGCTATTTCACTACTATCATATATTATTTTATTTAGCGGATTACATCAACTGAAAAATAGTTTATCGGTACCTCTAGCCTTTGTGTTGACATATTGAAAAATATTATTCCCCATTACGATTAAAACTAAACTGTTTTAATTACACGATAAATTACTTCCTCGATCGCCCGGTACAAATCCATATTCGTTTTAATTCCAGTGTATGATAATTGATATGCTTAAAGTATTGCCTATAAAAAAATGCGCCTTGAGACATTTATTTGCTAACGTTAGTACGTAAGATCACATTACCGCATGTTTTTTAAGCAAATACATTAGGAAAAGCAGTGATATCGATATTGTTTGTTTTTCCAGCAGTGAGCGACGGCCGTTGGAACTTTTATGTTATTTAGTTAATGTTTGTGTTAAAATGGATACAAATACATAAAATTTTGTTTTTGTAGACAAAGAAGAAAATTCTATTACGCAATCTGTACGCACGCACGAATTATAGTTTTATCTTACTTAATTTTAAACAGTTTTTTTTGTATTCTAAAATGTGTCTTATTTTGTCAATGTAGATCGTATAGACTTAGTGAAAATCTGTGATACTAGTTACTACAAACAACTTAAAGATACCCCCCTATATACTTTGATTGTCTATCATCGATCCCACTCATGGCGTCAAAATGTTGGTGGATAGTACAGTAAAAGCGAGCCCGTTTTTTTACGTACGTACTCAGTTTAATAATTAACGAAATCAATCTATTCTCTTATCTTTGTTTCAAAATCGAATCTTAACCGTATCTTATGCGAGAAGGTTAACCAAAAATAATTAACACGTATTTCTGAAACATAACCGTGTATTCATCAAGTCTTTCTACTGCTTAAATTACTCGTAGATTAGACGTTTCCCAAATTGAATAAATCTAATAATTTTAATAATTGTTTACGATAGTTTTCTATAAAATGTAATAAACATAGGTATAGTTTGGTACAATGTAAAAAATTAATATTGTTGCGTGCAACTTAGGAATAAAATCAAAATATTTACCGAAGACTTGTGGGATATGCCTTGGCGCGCTCTAAGCTGGAATAAATTTCCGGCCTGCTCGTTGACTTATAAGTCGTGTGTAGTTAACTGGGCTAGATATGAGTCATTCTAAAACAAAATATTACTTAACAATGGCGAATGCTACACGCTCGATATTTATCGTGATATTTATTGAGATGTTTATCTAGTATTTTTTTGGTATACTACACATTCAATACGAATCGCGTCAGTACGACGGTAAATTTCATTGAGTACACTCGTACGTTTCGTGTTACAATTATGAGTAACAATATTAAGAAAGCTTGCGTTGCCATTTTTATTATTATTATTATCAGCATACGCTGATATATATCAATATCCAAGACTTTAACGATTGTAAACATTTTCCGCTGCAGCACCAGATCGCTTCAAATCTGTTATTTTTTAAATTATTTTCTGTAGTTTGCCTAGTATGCATTTGAGCTGTCCCATACTTCAGGTAATGTTTCTAATACAAGTATGAATTCTTTATATGAATTCTCTATATTATTTCGCCTCAACATATGTGCCTCCTCTTCCATCGCTGGCAGAATTAATAGTGACGCGATAAATATCGACCAGACACTAGACGCTCGATATTTATCGACGATAATTGATACAGATCGTGGATTTTTAGATTTCTAGAAATCCAGCGATCCGTATCACGATACGTGATACGCCTGTACTACACATCGTGATTCTGGATTACGATCCAAATATCACGATAAATATCGAGCGTGTAGCATTCGCCAAAAGGCTGCTAGTTTTGTAGGTATGCGTTCTATCATCACTTGACAATCTTCACCCATACATCTATTTGAATGTAATAGAAATGAAAAATAATGGTATGTTTCACGCGGTGAATGCGCTGCTGGTACTTTGGTAGTTGGCAGACAATCAATTGTGTTCAACTAGATAAATGCTGCTATACGTCACCTCAACTAATTCCTTGGAAGAGAAAAGTTTTCTTTGCCTTAAAGAACTTAAATGATTTTTCTTCTACGTATCATGATTTATGAACGATGAGCTTGAAGATTCTTTCCCTTTCTAATATATAAAATTCTCGTGTCACAGTTTTCGTTGCCATACTCCTCCGAAACGGCTTCACCGATTCTCATGAAATTTTGTGTGCTTATTGTGTATGTCTGAGAATTGGACAACATCTATTTTTCATCCCCCTAAATGTTAAGGGTAGTCCACCCCTAAATTATTTTTTTTAATTTTTAGATAAATTACTTATTTTTATTTTTTTATGATACAGCATAAAAAAAATACATACAACCCCTAACTTTCACCCCTCTACGATCAACCCCTATTTTTTTATTATAAATGATATATATGGCAAAACGACGTTTGCCCGGTCAGCTAGTTTAGATTATAAAATCTGGATGAAAGTAGCTTGTTCGTTACTATGGTTACCGTATTTTATATGGAAAAAAACATTGTAATCATAGCAACGAGGACATAGGTACTGTAATTCTCAACCTAGTTATAATAATACAACTCAATGAACGTATTATATTTTGAGAACCTGAATATCATTAAATTGCTTCAGAACTCTTTGAAATTTTGTAAAAATCAGAATATTCATATATTTTATATTTTCAATCATCCCACAATCTAGATTTATAATTACTATCCTAAAGCTTTCAGTTGACCATAACAATGAAATAAATAAGCATAAGATAGCATAAAAATATTTTTATGCTATCTTATGCTTTTATTCGCATTATTGTATTTACTCATGCGAATTGACCTATGAAGTGTTGTATATGTTTCAGAAAACTTATTAACTATTGTTTTGATATTTTAGATTTTTAGTAACAAAAATGTCTGCTTGTTTACTTAAAACAGCATGTTTTCAATAATTTGTTAGAATATAATAATATAAAGTTGAACTTACTAATCTAAACATATTCTGACGTCTATGGGTTATTTGTGTTTACTTAACCAAAGCTTTTTCGTCTCTTCACGACACTGCAAACAGAATAATAGATTATACAAAATACCAGCATGATCTAGCAAATATAACATTGTAATTAGTTTATGCATGTACGGTAGACATGCTGAATATAAAATATTGTTGTACCCTAAGGTACAATAATACTCTCATATCCTTATGTATTAATTTGCTATGCTAACTAACACCGTGTTTGCTACGTGAAGTAGGTTATTCGATGAGGTGTAAATTCACTTAAATAATAATAATACATCGTATAGGCTGAAGCCAGAAGGTCTCTAACGAGAAAGTTCTAAAAAGAGTTGGAATGCCGAAAAAACTTATGGAGAACATTAAATAACGGAAAGTTGTGTAAACGGCGTGTTGCTAGAAGGAAAAATCATGGCAGTCCTAATGTTTAGGTAACAATCATATTGACTGCCCCGAATTGCTTAAAATATTAAACTTAAATGTACCCAATTGTAGTACTCGTCGTCGTTCTTTCATATCTCCTATTTTGGTACAAACTATGATCAAAATAATGTACTGACATGTATTGTAAATCAACACACATCTCAATAGGCAAATTATTAGTACATTGTCTCGTTTATTACCTAATCTTCGTCGTATAGGTATATTGTGTAATCAGTTTTGGTTATATTATTTTTATTTTATTATTAGAGTTGTGGATTACGAGGGCGGCACTGAAAATTTCGGGAATTAAGGAAGTGACACAACATTACTATTTAAAAATGTATTTATTGCTTTTCGAAGTATTCTCCGCGAAATTTGACACATTTTTCATACGATGGAACCAATCATTGAAGCAACCATTCCATTCGGAAGTTGGGGTCTCCAAAATGGCCGTTTTGTAGGCGTCCACAGCTTCTTCAGGTGATGAAAATCTCTGACCACGCAATTTATACTTTATTTTAGGGAAAGTATAGAAATCATTAGGGCTTAGGTCGGGGCTGTACGGCGGATGGTTTAATAATTCTATGTTTTCTTGTTCTAAAAACTCTTTTGTTCTGTGCGCGGTGTGAGAACTCGCATTGTCGTGATATAGGATGATCCGGCGGTTGCTCTTTACGGAGTTCAGAAACGACCTGTGGCAAACAAATGCTAGCATACCATTCTGCATTAACCGTTCTTTGTCCCTCAAGAGGAATAGTCGCAACATGGCCGGTTTTGGAGACAAACGTGGCCACCATTTCTTTTGCAACACTCCGTGAACGAACAATTTTCGTTGGCTTTAACTCATTTACGAACACCCAAACTCGTGACTGGTTTTTTGTTTCGGGTTCGTACGCGTATATCCAGGATTCGTCACCTGATACGATGTTGTATACAGCATTTGAGGATCCTGCGTGGAATCTTTCGAGAGTTCTGACGCACCAAGTAACGCGAGCCACTTTTTGCTCTTCACAGAGCGAATGCGGTATCCATCGGGAAAACAACTTTTTTACACCTAATTGTTCATGCAGGATTATTTGTATTTGACTCATGCCAATGTCTAAAGTTGCCTGAATTTCGCGGTATGTCACATGTCGATCTTCCTCAATCAGCTTACGCACAGCACGTTTTCTTGGGTGACTGCAGTTTTTGGACGACCTTGACGGGGATCATCACTGAGCTTGACACGTCCACGTTGAAATTCAGCAAACCAGCGATAAATTGTGGTTTTGGATGGGGCTTCATCACCAAATGCAAAAATCATCCGGTCAACACTGTTTTTGTGATAAACCACTTCGAAAGTCATAATAAATCATCGCTCTTGAATTTTCTCGAGTCAATTCCATTTTCTCAACGACTAAACAAGTTTGACAAAACTTTGTGAAAAGACCGAGAATCTTTAAAAAAAAAAAATTTAAATATGACAGGAACACTAGTATTATTCCATTCCCGATACTTTTAGTGCAGACTATTAAAGTACTATTTAAAGTTTAACTTATTAGTACATACTAATAAGTTAAACTTTAAATAAATAATGATTAAATGTTCATCTCTCCTTTATATTGGTATGTTATGCAAAGTTATTATATGTAATATACACACAATATAAAAATCCTATAAAACCCCGGGAAACTAGCTTTTGTATTTCTTTGGAATAGTGACTTGCAGTAGATACCTTTGCTAACTTTTACTTAGTCATCTTGCGGACTTTGTTATTCATTGGTGCACAATTGTCAATAAAACGCAACTTCAGGGTTCTGATACGCGCGTATACACGGCCAACACTGCTTAAATTAAATCACAAATATACACGTAAGACGAGCACAATTTAACCGCAATATAAAATGGAAATTATCCCAACCATGCGACGCTGTTTTTGCTAAAGTCCCTGTACGAGAACAAAGAATTGTTATCAACTTTGAAGGAGACAGATTTGTTAATGTTTCGTTACTCATCTCGCTTGCAAAGCTTTCATATACCTATGAATAGGTTATGCTACCCTAGTCACAAACATTTTCAGGCGTGATTTATTAGCTAGAACTCGTTCGTGCTTATGGCATTTTTAAGGTTCTATTTTGTTTGTTTGTGAGGCTGTATGGGATGCAAGGATTTATTTTTCTAACAAATACACTGTAGCTTTGTCCCAGGGTAATGTACTAATCTATTATCTAATATTTTGTATCCCTAAGATTTTGCAATAGGACAAAAATACATAAAAATTAACAAATAAAGCTAGTTAAATGATTTTCATTTCAAATGCTTGCATTTTAGAAAAGCTTTTAGTTCAACTTGACAACAATAACAATACCGATTCAATTTTATTCTCATACATTCTGAGACAAAATGAAATTTTTAATGTCTAGGTACAAAAGGATTCCGGATTTGTTAATTTGTGAGAGAATGTTTTTGTGAGAACTCATTTATTCATTTGGAGAGCAAACAGCTACACTAAATTTGAAAAATAATTTACCAATAATTATTTGATGTCAAGACTATTTGCGTAAGGTTATCTTTAGCGTATTTATCTTTTTAGCATGATGAGAGCGATGCTAAGAAACTGACAATAAAGGCGACAGAAGAAGCACGCGGCCTATACACGTGTGAAGTATCAGCTGACGCCCCATCCTTTTTTACATTGCAAGTTCATGGCTCTCTAAATATAGTGGGTAAGTGACATTCTATTAGTATTGTTTTTATTCTTAACATTTTATATTTCTATAAATATTGACAAAATGAGATTTGCAGCCTACCAGAATAGGTATAAATGAAATGAGTTTCATACTAATTGTAGCTGATTATGTATGTATAATATTGAAGTCAAATTGATCTTATAAAGTTTTACGAGCCGACGTTAAAAAAATTTGAATAAGTAAAAGAAAAAATATTTCATTTGAATCTCATACTGAGTGATTTTTAAACGACGTTTTTAACGTGGGACTTCACATTATCTAAGTGAAGTTAGCTTCAGGATGATTCATTCACATGCTCTTAATTTATTTATGTTTTATACACTCAAAAGTATGCGTATTCACGTGAACCCTTTTACTAATAAATAAATAAAATAAATAAAATAGCCTTTATTGCTGTTTCTATCTTACAATAATACTCATTAATTAATACATGCCTAACATAATTACTTTCTAAATACTTTTCTTCTAAATTAAATTTAAATTACTTTCGAAGTACTTACTAAATTAAATTGGTTTAATCATTGTATGTTCGGCAACTGGATGTTTGTCTGGAACAGCTTGTCTGTCGACAAAGGCCTCCTCTAAAGATTTCCACGTATTCCTGTCTTTTGCTAAACGAATCCATACCGGACCAGCTATTTTGTTGAAGTCGTCTTCCCATCTTTTCGTTTGCCTACCTCTTTTTCTTCTGGTATCTCTTGTTATTTCTTATCTTTAGAGGGTCGTTTTACTATTCACTCACAAAATAAAACAAAAAAAAAAAAATTACTTCTGTTTGTTTACAATATAAGTATTATTTAATGGCGCGTCTAAACGGGCCATGTTTTGCTGCAATTGATGGCTGCAACACTGTGGCCGGCAACATTGCAAACAATAGCAGCCACACTATGCAATATTGCAGTAATGTCCCGGCCATATAGCCAAACATGTTTTGTATAGCCACATATGGCCGATGTTGCCCCGATGGGTGGCCGGACGATCGCTAGGCTATCGAATTCAACTGCAATATTGCACAGCCAGTTCTCTTGTTGTTTCAGTCACTCTCTTTGTTATGGCATAGTCTATCCTTTTCTACGCGACATGACGTTTGCTTTGAGTGAAGTGTGCCTGTTGCTTTATTCTGTGTTTTGCGATCAGCTGTATTTGACGTTAGATTACTACGTAAAAATGACTACTTTTGACATTCTAGTTCTTGAATAATTTATTATCAAGACTTATTTCTAGACTCAAATTGTCTACAGTTTCACGCCTATTTAAGTAAGGTCGAATCCACAATCTCTTCTTTTTCTGTTTCTTTTTTAAAACAATATAAGCTGCTGCGACAAGTGTGATTTCGTCAGCCATTGTTGCCGGTTTGTGTAGCCCGTTTAGGAGTCTGCATCATGGGCCATACTATTGCAACACATTGCCCAGCCATAGATTGTTCGGCCATCAGCTGCATTAAAATATTTTTGTAATGGCCGGGCAATTAGTGGCCAACAGTGCAGCCATCAATTGCAGCAAAACATGGCCCGTTTAGACGCGCCATAACAAAAATATTACGTTTTACTAAGTTACTTTTGTCACTTAAAATTTAACTTCTATTTTATTTAGTTGCATCTAAGTAAAACATAAGTGTATCTATTTTTGGCTGTATTCTTCAAGTGTATCTATTTTTGGCTGTATTATTAAACTATCATGGCAACGCACCCTAACCCGCAAGTACTGTATGCCTAAAACTTTTGTATAGATATCAAAGGATATCTTTTAAAAAAGATATAGTTAAAACACAATCAGACATTTAATGTCACCTGTGTGTTTAAATAATTTTACAGGCTTCAATCACACACATAAACACAAATACACATCCCTACACCTATTCTCTCTGTATTGTTTAGTCTGTAAACCTTCTAATTGGCGTATCGGTGTAAGGGTTTTCTAAATAAATTAATATAATTTGTCAAGGTTAACTGGCCTCGGATAGAATAAAGCCGGGGTGGGTCGGTATATTTTACATGTTTAACTGTTCAAATAATTAATTTTTGACCTACAATACATGTACATTTTAATTCGTCTGCTAAACGACGTTGACGATGCTCTATGTCGAAACACTATTCGTATTCGCATTGTTTTGTCGGCTGTCACAAAATATAAATTATATGGCTATATTTCATTTATTAATTTCCCCGTTGAAACTAAAAATTTTACATTTGAACTGTTGCTAAGTTTTAGAGAAACCTTTTATCTACCGCACCGATCATTAGCTACTACCAAGTAGGAAAATACAAAATAACACACTTTACTGACGCCTAGATAAGTCGCTACACAAAGTTATTTGTCGCGAACTTTCAACTGTCCCCATTCACACTCTTGTATATGCAGTTAAAAAGCTAGTTCCATCTTTATAAAGGACGGAGGGTGGAATATTGCTTGTGTATTTCTATACGTGAAACGCGTCTTATTCAAGTCAAGCATTCAAGCAATAAAGTTTATTTACTGTTACTTCACAGTGTAACTAACACTAAGTAATACAATACAAAACGTTTAGTAGAGTTTAATATATAAACATTTTGTAACAAATAAATAGGCACAAAATTTGGATGATTTTGTAACTTATATCAGCCCGTACAGTTTAAGATTTAATTATTTCTAGTTGTCAGAAACCGCTAACTGGTGAGTTTTGTACGACTATATAGCCTGAATTAAAGACTAGGTTCCTTCCATTCAAAAAGCTCACAGATTATATCGCTCGTCGCTATTATTATACTGTAATACATATTTTCAAATACACTTCTTATTATTGTAGTAAAATACTTTTTAGTACAATACCTATATACGAATAGTTACAGAACAGAAGTATTGGGGGATTACCATAACGTTCACTTTGTAGGTTCTCCTTATCAGATCACAAATTGGTGCTTTCAAATTTCCCTGATACTAAAATAGATATATCATCAGCAATAGATATGTCCCCATCGTGCAGAGACTGGTAGCATTGAGTTCTGTTATGGCCTGGTTAACTACTAGATTCCACAGTAGCGGTAATAGGACACCGCATTGTGGGAAACGTCTGCTGCCGATAACTCGCGTAGTGGTATTAACGGTGAACTGTATGCTCACTTTTAACTAACACTCACAGCTCATTGTTTTAACATTTTTCAAAGGCGCCTTCTATATCAATAAATGCTCCAAGAGTGAGCTGATTTGATTTCAGAGGAAATACCAATACAAAACACAATATTGTGGCGTGATTATCCTGTTGATTGGCCTGATGTGTACGCGTGATGATTTGAGTGTAAGAATTTAGATTAGGACACCAGCTTTGTATCACCAGGTCCCCCAGCTTCTCCAGCGTCTTTAGAAATAATGAAGTGAGGCTGGTTTTACGTAAGTTGGCTGATCGGTCTAAAGTCCCTCCATTTCAGAAGTATGTAGAGAGGTGCTATGCAGGGTCGGAAAACTAAGACAAGGGCATTGGTACCAGTGTTAGCCTATAGCATACTAAGGTATGCTATAATATGCCTTATAACTATAAGGTCCCTTGAACATAATTCGTTTATGAGTAGGCTTGGCATAAATATGCAACCGAGGTGTCCAGTAAAAGTTTTCCTCCTATGTTACCCAGGCCACATGTTCTACCATTCCTGATCCACGGGTCTAAGGTCGCGGCAATGGTCTTGGGGTAAGTCTCCAACATTTTGCGCAGACAAGCCGATGCAGTTTGGCTGTGCAGGAGGTTAGCCTGGTCAGTCCTATGAGGAGCGCAGACAACCTTCGCCGAGTTCTTTTTCCGCCTTAGTCTCCTGAAAGTCCCTCCTCAAAATAAGGCTTTCGTAGAATTGTTTCTTTAATAATATTTGTCATTATAGTTAATATAGTTAATTTACTAACTATATTATAGTGAATTTTTGTTTGACTAAAGTATAAAATTAAAAACTAAAATAATAATATTTTATCATGTGTCATACTTGCTAAGTGACTCGAGTGAAGAAGGCAACATTTTCAGTAGCTCTTTGAGGTAATTACTAGGTCCTTACATATGAAATTGGCGTTTTGTAAGAGAGGAACAAAAAGTAGATTTTTTTTTAATAGAATATATTTAATTAATAAAGTATGTACCATAGCAATCTATGCACTTTTTCCATCTTATAGGTAGTTCATTGATCCCTTTACTAAAAAACCATTCGGAATCAATGAAATATTTGAAGGCGGTTTCGACTGCCCCGTCAGAGTTGAATTTTTTACCTCACAAGAAGTTATCCAAATTTAAAAGTACGGAGTACGGTGGATGTCTTAAACATTCCAATTGAAGCTCCTCTAATTTGGTAGCAGTCTGTTGTGCAGTGTGTGGTGTAGCGTTGTCGTGAAGCAGAAGTGGCATAGAGCGATTGACCAGCCTTGGTTATTTAGCAGCTAGCTTTTCCATCATGGTTTTAAGTTGCTGACAATAGACATCTGCCGTAATCGTCTAGCCAGATTCAAGAAAGTTATAGTGAACGACCTCGGCACTAGTCCATCAAACGGTCACAAGTAACTTTTTCGGACTTAATTTTTGCTTGGGGCACGATTTGAGTACATCCGATTATCGTTCAGGATCCACTTTTCATCACAGGTAATGATTCGATTTAAAATCCCTTCATTGTTGTGCCGGTTGAGTAATATTACGTAGCAGTCGACGCGCGTTTGTCGATTTGCTTCACTCAATTCGTAAGGTTTTTTCACCTTCCCAATTTGCTTCAAGTGGCTTAAAACAGTTTTATCACTAATATCGCAGCCTGCAGCTAACTGAGACGTAGTTTGCGATGGATCCCCTTCCATAATAGCATCCAATTCTTCGTAATCAACTTTGATCTCCGGCCGTCCACGGGGCTTGTTCTGCAGGTCGAAATTTCCAGGACGAAAACGTTTAAACCAAAAACGCACTGTGTTTTCTTTTTTAACACCGCCTCCATTCACATGATTAATCCTTCGACCGTTTCTGCAGAACTGGTGACACGGTGGAACTTGTACTCGTAAATAACGCGATATTTCATCTTTTCCATTTTATAAATAGAGTGTCGCAAAGAAAATGAAACGAAAAACAATGCACGAGTAAATAGCTGAAAAAATTGAATTTGGAATTCTTAATTAAAGAGGGGATATTTGTGAGTGGCCAGTACGACAAATCGTCAATTTCATATGTAAGGACCTAATATTAGTTTATTCGTATAAAGTTTATACATATATGAATAGAGGGTAAGATTTAATATATAATAATACTTTCTCTTGAGAACTAGTACTGTATTAAAGTTATTCTATTTGCGCTCATCTTAAAGGACTTAAAGTTCAATAAATTATAAACTACGCTAAACATTACTTCTTTAATTTGATTTTTATCTCATGTAGCACTCTGAGTAATGGTAAAACTTTGTTGAAATTCCTTGGAGATGCCGCAGCTTTCTGCTAATGGAAGGACTTTGTACATATTGATGTTTCATAAAAGCAAACGTGTAAATAAAACGGTACAAAGTGTCTTTCTATCTAAAATTACTTTCTATTTAATGATATATTCGTTTAACAATCAAGAATATTATAAATTTTATACTTATTTAAGACGTGAAACATGGTTCTTATAAATCGCAGTTGTATTAATTAATGTGTTTTAAGTAAGTAAGTATCGACTGTCGACAATGTAAGCAATTCAAGTGAAATCTTTTTCAGACCTCCCCAAGTCGGATCCAGAGTTAAAGGGCTTGAAACGTTACTATCGCCCTGGGATGAAGCTAAAGGCAGAATGCATAAGTCATGACTCTATGCCGGCTGCTAATCTCTCGTTTTTCATCAACAACGAACAGGTAAGAACTTATCGGTTTAGAGAAAATGAAAATAAAGTTATTTTGTGCACGAATATGACTCGGGTTTCGGCTTTATCCAATTTTCCGTGATCAAAGGCTTAAATTTTAATAAGGATTCGTATTGGGAATTTTCATAACGTAATATTTTTTATTTATTTATGCAATACCATATATATTCTATATAAAACTTCCCTTTACCATTTACATATATATTACGGAAGTTATTTATGTTTCCCTGAACCTTGTTTTATCTTCATGTATATTATTATAGTGTGGAATAATTAAAGTACGTTTTTGAAGTTATACTTCTTTAGGCGCGTTATGAAAAATTGATGAGAGTGAAGTTTTACGATGCGCGCGCACCGTGACACAAAATTAACAGAATGAAGTTGCCCACAGAAGATGCTACGGCATTGGACATAATTTAAAAACAACATCGAATAATAATATTTATGTTACATTTAATGTAAGAGAATAATAATAAATATTTATTTATTTAATTTTTCAAATGTAAACTGAACTTTATATAACTATAATGACTCCTTATCCAGTCTTTGATTATTTAATTGTAATTAATTATTTGCATGCAATCAAAAACTGTTTTTAATAATGCCAAAGAAGTAGAACTTCTTACGCGCGTACATAAGTACACGCACCCTTTTTTTGTTTCAAGTTCTTCTCCGAAGGACGTGTCCCGTATGTAAATTCACATACGTTTTTGACATACCAAAGTCACTCGTTAACTTTTACTCCTTATTAGTCTCGATTTTTCACCTCACCCTAAGACACGTTCTTTGTATTACTAAACATGTTGGTTCATAGTACGGTCACGTTAACGAATTAAGGAAAATACTGCTTTTAAACTTAGGTAAAAATTCGTTTGGTAGAAAGCAAACTAACCCGCTTTGTATACACGAAAACAATAACAATTTTAAAACATTTTAGGCACTTTCACAGCACGTGTGGCATAGAGTGGGTGGCGGTGAAAACGGCAGCCTTTGGACTGCGTACAGTACAATGCAATACGTGGTACAAAAGCATCACTTTGTCAGAGGCAAAATAAAGGTAAAACATAGTATTAGCATTGCTTGATTAATCCCTTTGAATCCCATTTATTTCCGTATTGAACTGGCTAGATTAAAATGCATTCCTCTTATAGACTATTTAGCGTGATTTAAATTGTGTTTTAAACTAGTATCTGAAATGATAACAGTATTTACTGATCCTATGGAAATGGCTTAAAGTTCTTGTCTAGTATCTGGATAAACATTGGTTTTATAGAATTTTTTATAAAAAAAAATATATTGATATTTAATTTAACAACTTTGCATCCTTATCAGCCCTTTAGGGGTTAAGGTTTTCAAGGATATTCGTATCATAGACATACATACATATAGATATACATTTGAATTGTTAGTAACATTTCATTCATGTGGTTTTGTTTCTGTTTGAGGAATTTAATAACATTTGAAGCACGGGCCATATCCAATATAAATTGAAATAAGTTAAATTTCATAATTTTCCAGTGAAAAATACGTTGTAATGACAAATACGAAATAATTCTTTACCTAAAATTAATTCCATGTGTAAGCATTGTTTTTAGTTGTAATATGTATTTAATTTAAATGTGTAGTACTCGCGTAAGCTAAATATTAAGTTATTATTATTGTATAAGTATATATATATATATATACCTTACTTTAATATATCAAAATCAAAGTCTCTCATGTTAAATTCTTGTCACATACCTAAATATTGAGCGTGGGATGGAATGGCAACTTGAAAGACATGCAAAAGGTTTTTCCCTAGAGACCTTACAGTTTATTTATTGATGCAAACACGGTTTCTTTATTAATTACATTGTAGATCAGAATCTAACGGAATTAAATACCATTGTTTTCGAGTTAGCGAAGCCACGTAAGAGGTAAGGAGATATTTAAGTAATAATAATAATAATATAGCCTTTAAATTCCGAAACCCTGTTTTTATATTTACGAACTAATATGATCTCACTCCAGTATATCACGGAGTTCGGTGTGCCTCTTGGCAAAGCCCTCCTCTAACGCTTTTATATATATATATATATATATTATGTTTTTTTGTTAGAGAGCGGTGGTCTGATCTTCCCGCGGCGACCAACCGTGGTGATATTTTAGTGTTTTGTAATAAAACATTCCTCCTACCTGAACAATGCATGATTCATATTTACCTCATATAATGATTATTTAGTTTTATTCGTTTTTTGCCAAACATATTTTAAGTCAAAGTATTTTTTTGTCCATATGATAATTCGTGATTATTGATTATATCTACAGTAGATATTGTCAGTCGTCAAGTTGTATGAGTTTTACTTTTTTTTTGGATATTTCGTAATCGTCAAAACTAAGCAATACACGTGTTACTTTCATGTTCCGAAATTGTATCGGATTTATGACATATGGGAGTCTTATTTGTAACGACAACTACAATCTGTGCTTTGATGACGTCATACCCTGAAATGCGTTAACAAGGTTATTCCGGTCACAAAGGATATGTGCAATTTCTCAACATAAGTCACTGGGTCCTTTCGTCATTCAGTGGACGCAGACTCTTTACCTCCCTTTACATTGGAGGAACTGAAGCCACTACATCCTCCATATTGGTGACCCCGACGTGATACTGTTGTAATATTTAAATTTCGCGCATTTTGCTCCATTGACTTGAGTTGCCTTTTATGTCAAGTCTGTTTCTCATTTGTCGTTGCCCTTCTCTTTACCCTATGAACATTACGAGCCGATGTATTGATTTTTAACTAAATAAAGTTTAAGTTATTTTCCACATATAAAACCGCTTGTTTCCATTAAATCTTAAACTATATGAACACGCAACACTTAATTTTAGCCATAATGTATATAATCAATAATTCATAAAAATAAAAAAGTCGCCTCGTCAATCGTATGTCAATAACAATGAAATGTATTTTTTTCTGTATTAAGGAGCTTCACTAAAGTCATTAAAGCATTTAATATAGTCGGAATTTAAAATTGTGTCCAATTTCAAAAATTCAGTCATCTTGATGATATTTTATCATAACGCCTTTCTATTTTCTGTCTGCTATAACTTTTTTAATGTAAGACTTCAGCGTGACCTATAAACTATAAACGACGGCTATACAGCTCGTGACGGCTACTTACCATACGTAACTAGGACATGTTTATCCCTTCACAACATGCAGGTAGTTGCTAAAAATTTAACCTTAATTTAGCAAGTCAAAACCCATGTTCTATGTAGTGCGATACGATATCTACTATTTTTGGGTTAACGTGTAGGAATATCAAATATATATAACATGGCTTAAGCCGAAGAAACTTGCGTTAAATACTATAGATAATATCATCACCGATAATTAATCTGTAACTTCCAATAGCGATATTAATCCCGTAATTTTTTTTAAGAAATTTCGATATAGTTTCCCTCAATATCCGTAGCGCTGATATCGCTAAAGTATATATTTCTATTTTTGTCTATTCATCTTAGATTACCAAGATAATTGAATGTATTAATTAATTTTGTGTTAATTAATTTAATATGAAGATCATGTTAAGGTATTTTTAAAGTATATTTATACCATATTTTTTAAAGTATATTTCGTTTATTGATATAGGTTAATAAACCATCAACTTATAATCGAAGTAATAAATAAAACTATAACGACGCGTCGGTGCGATTTGTGAATTTATTATGAGCCATTGCAGTTAATATCCTGAAAATTATGAGTCTTATTACAAAATCCTACATTAACACATCTATGAGACCTACTCGCTGCAAATACTAACCATTTGACAACTCTATCTAGATCTAGATCTGATCTAGATCTAGATCGGTCCACTATACTATATAGGACCTAAACTTGGACATTGAAACAAATTACAAGCCGAATAGATGACCTCCTACTCGTTTTTTTTATAAAAAAATAAAATAAATCAATGGCGCTACAACCTTCTTAGGTCTGGGCCTCAGATTTCTGTATCTGTTTCATGATCATTTGTTATCTAATAGGCAAGTACGTGATCAGCTTCCTGTGCTTGACACACGCCGTCGACTTTTTGGGTCTAAGGGATGCCGGTTTCCTCAAGATGTTTTCCTTCACCGTTTGAGCGAATTTTAATTGCGCACATAGAAAGAAGGTCCAGTGGTGCACAGCCGAGGATCGAACCTACGACCTCCGGGATGAAGGTCGCACGCTGAAGCCACTAGGCCAACACTGCTCGTTTTTTTATAGTCAGTTAAAAAGTCAACATTGAGGTTTGAATCGTAATCGCTATCAAATGATGAGTATCGTCCCAGAACCTAATTAAATGCCGTTTATATCATATAAATGTGAAATGGTAACCATGAATAAAATAAAAATAAAATAACCATGGGGTAACCATGGTAACAGACATGATAGTCTTCACTCTACAGTTTAGTCTGAATGTCTTTACGCGATCTTGAAACGAGATTTTCGTATGTTTCTTGTGACATTTGTGTTATATTCTTTTTGTTATTCTATTATTATTATTGAAGAACAAATATTGTTTTTATATCTATCAATGTCAATAAAAATTAATCGCTGAATATGTTGCTGAGTGGATCAATTCGAGTATTTTTTAAAAATTATTGCTTGAACTCTGAGGAAAGTTTTTATGGTGAGAAAATTTGGAAAAAACACAAAAAATCATATTATGGCAAATCGAAGTTCGTGAGGGCAACTAGTATTTTATAAAATCTTATAAAGTGTGTCTAATAATTTATAAAAGTCTTTTCTTGTCTGGTTTTGGGAAAGCATATGTCAAACGAGCTATTGCAGCTTAACAACCTCTAGTTGAAGTTTAAGAAAATCTAATGTAAGGTTAGTACTTAGAGATTAAAAGAGTCAATAACGTATTCTCTTTTGCACTATAACAAGCAATTAATCAAGATAGCGCTCTCAAAAGAAAAGAAAACTTTGCAACACTCGCTTCGCTTTTAATTGCCTTTTGCTGGACGTGTAAGTTTATTTTTAATAAAAACATTTATGGAATTGGTTTTTGTGAAAGATACTTCTTCCAGAAAATATAAAATACTAATAAAATAATAAAAATAAAATCACTTGTTGATTCTGTTGATTATGATTAAAGCCAACAACTTATAATATTAACCTCACCAATGTACAATAGTTTTTATTTTATAGCTGCTGCCGCGACTTCATTCGCGAGAAAATCTTTACTTTGTTAAAAAAAGTATTTCGGACGGCAAATGTATTGTATTTTTATTATTATAATTAAGTAATCATAGCTACTTATATCTTATTGCAAGATAAGCTAAATCTGTTGGGTAAGACCAACAAGAAGAAAAGACATAGATTCAAGGTTGGCTAAGCACCTTTAACCTTCTGAGGGTGCTTGGTATTTGATGGGCGTCTATGGGCGTAAGTTAGATGATACTTAAGTCTAAGTTCAAAGAACCAAGTAAGTAAGTACCATTTTGAAAATGGAACGAGTGTAATAAAAACAACTTGATACTGTTAGGCGTAATTACAAACAGTGTTAGTTGCAATATCTTGCAATCAGTCAGCTAGACTATGAGCAGATGTGTTGAGAGCTGTTAGGCGTTCAGAGCAAAATTATTAAGTCCGGTATGGTTAGTTGCGTGGCAAGCTTATTAGGATGCATTACTAGCCTTTTTCTGTATTTCATACTCCAGGTTTTGATCTCCTCTTTGACAGTCTTGATTTTGAGGTGCTCATGAATCTCCGATGTTTTCATAAACCACGGACAGTTGGAGAGTTTGAAATACATAACATAAGAATATTTAAATAGTAACACAGCTGAAATAAATGTAATATTCCGTGATTAATCTACTAGAGATTAGTTAAATTCATGAAATTGATATACATTGTTGTTATGCTAGTTCATTATTAAAATGAAACCTTTAGCGGTATAAATGGACGCCATCATTATACACACTATAAGCCGTTTTGTGGTAAAAATCCTTTGGTTTATTGCAAATGATGTTTCATTAAAATAAATGAATACAACCCAATATTTACCCAATAGAGTTAGAATTGCTTTATATACCAGTACCATTTGTATAATAGCAACATTTTGTTCTCATAATAAGTATTAGGCGTATTATATGTTTACAAGTTTATCTGGATGTATATTCCCGCATCATATAACATGTAACAATAATGCCCAACTATCTCTCTGTATCTACACAAACATTATAATCACCTTGAGATAAATCTAAATGAGAAAAATACATGCAACCCGATAACGAATCTAGTAACTTCGTAATATTTGAAAGTGCAAATTTGTAACAATGTTGTAAGTTTTTATATTCTCTCTGTTACTCTCATTCTCTTTCAGAGTTTCATCAATTTGATTATTAATCTCATTTTTAGAATATTAGAACATGAATATCGGATTTCGATTTGTCTGTTGACCGTAGTTTATGTTGAATTTAATATTAACAATTTAAAATTTGATATTAACAAAAGTTTTCCAATAATAAAGTTCTCCTCATTAAATTAATCTCTCTAATTAAATTTATCTTAGTCAGTAATAATTTTATTCGCGTTGCATTTTATTAGATTTAGTAGCTTTAGGTTTTTACGAACAATATACACGCACTCAATTAATACTTTTGTTGTACATAACACACATTCTTTTAATAAACTGGTTTACTGGTTGGATAAATTTTATTCTGGCAACGATAATAAATTACTACACATTTAAATTACATTACATTAGTTGTAAGTTTATTTGCTTAGATTCACTGAGCCATGATAAAAAAGTATTATGTTTCATATCTATAGCTGATACATACTTCTCTAAAAAGTTCTGAGAATAGTACCCCATACCTGTACGGTATCATATCCTGTATTCACAAGGTAACGTGTCAAATATCTAAAACTATATGTGCGCAATCACAATTTTCTTCTTTAGACATTATTCCACACACTTCAAGCACCCGCCGCAGAAAAATCCAAAAACAATAATAATTTTATTATTCCATCTAGTGTCCCGAGAACCCGATGTTGATAATTCACGGCCAGCATATAATCGGCGACATGGCGACGGCAGTTTAGCACGTGTATCTATCTTGGCAGGGTAAATTTACCAAACCCAGCTGTCGTGGACTTTCAGGCTAAGAGCAAGCAGAAGGCTTGCTATTTTCTCGCTCTTTACATAGTAGGCTCAAAGTTGATATTACACGGCTGATGCTATCAAACTAATTAATGACGTTAACAATGTTGTCGGCACCATTATTTATAATACATCCGCTGGTTGTTTGTTAATATGCCGATGGCTGGCCATGCGTCATACTCGTGAACGGGTGCTACTTGTGGTGACTGGTCGTACTTGAATTGGTGTACGCGGTGATGTTAGTTGTTTCGAATATGTGTTTGCAAGTTGTTCCCACGAGAATGTAAGTGCGTGCTCCTATTTCACCATGCCTCCTGCTGATAGAGGACAAATCTTTGTTTTTAATTTATTTTATTATTTATCACTTAAGATGAAACATGGTGTAATGGTTGCAGCTCCTTACAAACGTTGTGTAAAACAAAAACTTGGCGATTAGAAAGACTGGCGGAGAGTTTATTGCCAGTTCTTCTCTACCGTTCTACGCCCTTGATTTGAGAACTGGCAGTAAATGTAAAATTAGAAGCATGTAATGTATATTTCTTTTTTTTGACGTTCATAAGTGTAGATTGTGTTACCTACATCAATAAATGATTTTTGATTGATCGATTGATCCAGTTCGTGATTTTTTGCCATTCTTCTGCTGCTTTGTGAACAATCAGTTCCTGTATTTCTTCATCACACCCTACCTATCTTTCTTCGACATTATTCAGGTGCTGCCCTCGTTTCAGTGCCTCGTTGTAGCAAAAGTGCTATCTGCCTGCTGTTTGCACGTTATATTATAGTCTATTATACCGTGGTTTATCTGGAGAGGCCCGAATGCCTAGAACTATCCCTCACCACTCTTAGAAAGGTTTGTTCAGGCTAAATATGCATTAGTTATTCCAATTAAAACTAACACTAGAAATATGGAAACAACATATAACAAAAAAAATACATACATTACATCAAAAAAATTGTAAGTGTGTGATTATTCATTTATAAATAGCAATATTATAGAAATTTAGCCAGTCAAATTATCGATTCGAATTCGACTTTCGAATTCAACCAAAACCTTCATCAAGTCGCTTTAGTAGCCAAAATCAATACTGTTTTAAGGCGTCAAGTACTAATTCAGTTTTATTGTAGACGTTTCAGTTTTAACGGAAAAGATTTCTTTAAGATGGTTATGTGTTATGTGAATACCAAATTGCATCATAGTAAGAAAAAAACAATAGTATTATTTATTTCGTTTATTTTATATGAGGACTCGTTCTATCCTCTTCTGCTGGATTATAGTGGGGATGAGCTGGTGGCTCCCCATCGCCTTTCCTTTGTCTTTCACGAGTTAAGTTTAGGGCCAAATTTTCGAGTGTTATCCATAAAGTCTGGTTTGAGACGATTTGTCAACCGTGTTATAGCAAGAAAACCTACTACACAAAATACGAGGCAAAAAGACGAAAATATGTAATGTAATGTTTGGTATTATTTCATTGCACATATATTAACTATATATACATGAAAATGCACTTCGATCTTATTCTAGGATGTAGAATACGCTACGGTATTTGTTACCATGGATACCAAGTTTTAGTAACGTAATCATGGTAACATGGTAGCTTCCGACGTCTTATTCACGTCGAAGCCGGTTTGGTAAAGAATAACAATATAAAGTAAGCATAGGAACGTATCGTATTGGGTACTTTTTTATGAACTGTTTCAGACTAAACGAGGTTACTTTTTGACAATTCCGTAGAGAAAATAGACTTAATTGTTTTCTATAGAGAAAACTGACGTTAATTGGTGGGCAACTTGTTATGTAATATTCAGATAAAATCAATACACAATTGCAATGTGTTGATATATTTTTTTATATGAACTTGTTTGAACAGATCCGGTGTTCGGCGGCTATATATTCGATATACTTCAGAAGCCACGAGAGGGTGGTTGAGGAAGAAGGTGGAGGAACTACCATTGCCCCACTCCCTGAGACAAGGGAAGCTATCGTCTTCCCCATACATCGTATATCTTTTAATAGTAAGTATGCACCACGTCACCCTTAATATTCGGTGTGCATATTATTATATTCTATACTCTAATGTACAAAAAACATTTTACGAAACTTATTGATCCTATTAAATACATGCTTCTCGTAAAAAAATTATCTTCTTAGATATTAATATAAAAAAAATCCTTTTGGATACCAGTTGTTTTACGTGATTTGCTTCACTAAAATCATTTAGTACCTAATGCCAAATTGTGTGGTGTTAATAGTAATTCCGTGTTTATATTTTGTGCTGGCTGTGATCAAATAAATTAATCGACACAGATTTATTTAACGAGTTTTATCTACCTGAATTCTAAAGCAATTGGTCTAACACGGATTCAATCAGTGCGTTTATCGCAGATGTAGAATACTTTTGCAAAATATACAATATTCCAGGTATTAGGAATGCACAAACACTAATTATAAAATATAGGAGCTGATCACAGTACTCAAAACAGTAGCTACTCCAACTTTACATGATAAATATATGATAGTTATGATTATTTTATGTTGGTACTTTTATAAAGTTTTTCCGTGCATCTAGATTACCTATAATAGACTCGTAAATTGATAGCACCTACATATTGAAGGTATGACACACCATCAGCTGACATTTTGATAGATCATTGTGGTTTAATCCATCATAGCGTTATGTCTTGTCCATGAAATTATTCCTCTATCCTATCCTAAATACTCAGGTGAATACTTATTTTATAATATGATGCACACACATTTGTGCGTGTATTTTAATACGCCTTTAGCGTTTCTGCGCCTTTTCTTTCTTTACGCTTAAAGCATACCGTGATTTGCTCACGATATTTTCCTTCCTTGTTGGGCACGTAGAAACAGCTTATTACTTTTACTTGACACAGTAGAGAATTCTAATATTTTTTCCTATAGCCGCTTTTTTAATAGAAATATAATCATTAACTCTTCAAACGAACCCATCGATTGAACAATGGATGAATAAATCCTCACTTTTTTATAAACCCAAGAAAAATATTTTTTTTATATACCTAGGTCTTTTAGAATTTCTGATAACGGAAAGTTTACTGTTTCCTAGTTTCCTTATACTTTTTGCGTTGACAGGCGATCAAACTCAAAATAAGTTCACTTAGAGGCACAATTTAAGTTTGTTTCAAGATTCAGTGAAATGAGGCATATCGATAGACTTTTAAACTAGAACTAGAAAGATTACCTTCAAGGCTTTTTAAATACTCCGTTATAATTCTGATAAGGAGGGAGCTTGTAGTTTATTGTTTATCAGAATGCCAAATCGTAAAATGACTGCTTCACGACTGATTTGAGAGCGACCGCCGCTGCGAAAACCGCTGTGCGAGTTCGAAAAGTGAGTTACAGAATCGCAAGGCTGAACACAAAGAATTTCCTGTATTCCATAATAGCAGCATTTGAAAATCCTAAAGGACCAAGCGAACATAAAACACCAATATTCTCTCTGCTTCTACAGGTGTTGATACATACACAAATAGAATGGATTTTGTGAGTTTTAATTTCATAGAAAGCATTCCATTTGGGAAATGTAGGAAATCCTATTTCGGTTGGCCCTTGGTTACTCTGTCTGTCTAGAAATATGTATTAGATGTAAATGAATAAGCTTGGAATTTAGGAATTATTGTTTTAATGAGGTAAAGGTAATGACCGTACATTATAATAATAATTATTAATGTTTTTTGACTATCATAATTATTTAACAAACAAATTCGACGTTTGTTTTGAATTTTGTATTTAATATAAAACGAATGAGTACTGAATATTTTATATTCTGAGACGATTTCCATTACCAAACAACGAAATTAAAAAAATCCATTTGAAGTAAAGAAAATGTGAGGTTTGTAAGAATTTTCTTAAGTAATATTTTCCCAAGTCGGTACAACCTTAACGTAAGCATCTAGCAAAAAAGGATTTTTCCTATTCGCCGCGTAATTATTATAATGGTAACGAAATGGTAGCGACTAGGTTTGTGAATGGTTAACGTAAAGAAGATATTCAGTAGCCTAAGTTCTGCAATTGAACACTCAAACAAAACGTGCAATAATTTATTTCTACATTTCTATGATCATAAATATAATTAATACAAAGAATTTATTTAACTTTTGTTTCCTTAGCCTTTCGATTGATGAAAGTCTGCGTGGCCAACCTGACTGACTTTCCTTGATTGATCGGAATGTAGTTTATTTGTGTAATGGTTCGTAATTACACATTATAGAAAGAATTGAAACTAACGTATTTCCATTTTTTCAGATGGATCCGAAAATGGAGGGATGTCATACCGCACTGAATACCGAGAAGTATGCATATTACTGATCTTCACATATGTTATCAGATAAATTATAGATACTAATAAAAATTATAGCTAGGCACCAACTATCTGATCACAACCTAGTAAAAGCTTAAAAACTCCTTGTATAAGAAATACTGGGAATAAACTGCCGGCGGTAATGAATTTCCATTGTAAAATACTAAGTAATAACGTGGATAACATTACTTTGTTACATATAAAATATATAAAAGGTCACTTTATATTGTGTTCTGCCCGTTCCTTTTACGTTCGGTTACTATAAAGGTAATTTTTGTTAACATTAATTAAAAATCTCTTTGAAAATATGATAAAAATCCCTGTTAAACTGCATAATAAACACTATGTTCCCTTTGTACAATATCATTTAATAAGCGCCGCGTAAAGTTGTCGATATTTACCTTTTTTGCTTTTAGAGAGCGAAAAATAATTTGTTTATAATATAATTTTGGAAAGCATGAGGTCAGTCACTAGAGCTACCACTTTATTTTTAATTTTGTTTAAGCATAGAAAAGCCCAAAAACATTTCAGGTTTTAAAAAAAATAACATACAAACATAAAATATTTATAGAACTGTTGAGCCAAATGCCAACAAAACATTGCATGCGACCTTCATTTTTCAAGAGCATTTAAGACCATTTCACGCACACTCAAAATTGCATTAAGCTATTAATCACAACCACCATTTACGCAAACATACAAGCTTGGCCCTCGGTTGCATGTACTGGCATTTGGCAGTTTTCCCACGACACTCTCTGATTCAGATCCGAGCGATTTTGGCAAAAAGATCTAAAAATTCAAATGAAAAAGAAAACTTTTATTGCGCATCTAATCAAAATTACAACTTTAAATTAAACTCACGATGAATAGTTTCACTATCTACGATACCTTTACAGTTTTAGTTATGTTATTTCATATTTTTATATTATACCAAGCGTTTGTTTTAAAGTAAATTCCTCGAATTGTTATTAATATTTCATTAGTAGATGAATGGTGAATAATTAAATTTATTTATTTTAATTATTAAATTCGGTATGGTGAATATGGAAACAAATTAACTTTTATCATTTCGACGAACGTGAAATTACTATATTTTTTGTGAAATCCATAAAATTTACTTATCTGATAGTATTAAAATAATTAATTATTTATAAAATAATGTATTATTTATCGTAATAAGAATTCTTTATTAGTCATTATTGTTTATAAGTCTAAGAGAACATTTTTTTCATTACAGTCGTATTTAATAATATAAAACAATTGCGTAATAAATAATAGTTTCCTGAAAGTTTGTTCTGAAATGGTATATCGTCTGTTATAAGCATTAATAATAATCCATATATTATCTTTAACCTAAATTTTTCATTATAGTGATTTGATTTTTTGTGAACCAGCGTTGGCCTTGTGGCTGAAGCATATCGCTATAATTTATTTTAAAGACGCCTAGTTTTCAGCGGCATTTATATTTTAATTTGCTTTGTACATTCTAGACGCATTTCTTGTATTTTAATGACCTAATACTTATTTAGAAAGTTGGTTGTTACCAATAACAAATATTTAAAAGCTACAAGTACAAGCTAACAAGTACTTAATTTTAAGTAAACATAATATAGATCCTTTAATAATGTATATAATATTGCTTATTAATCAGCTGTGTTTAGTCGGAATTTGTGCTCGAGTAATTGCTAGCAACGGTAATCTCAAAATCGATCTCCATCACATTAATGATTCAATGTGTGTGAAAATCACTTTCGATCACCTTGAATGACATACTTCAATTATTTCTATTTTTAGGAATGAATACGTTCATATTAAAACTAATTGTTGTTTTTTTAGTTGTAATTGTTTCGCTACATTTTTATTTACAAAGATCTAATGAAAATATTTTCTTCATCTTGTTATAAAAATAGATTTCCTTTCTTATCTCAATGCAATTCTAAATTTTAGTCACTTTTTTTATTTTTCACAAGCGAGAAAATTTTAATTAACTATTTAATAGAAACTTAAAACCAACCGAACTCTATCTTTGTTAGTGCAGCTCAAACACTAGAAAATTATGGAATTTACGATTAGTTTGTATACGAAATTGGTTTGTTACAATTTTATTTCTAGTATTATATTTAAGACGAAAATTGTTACAAGTTTATTAACAATGAATATAAGGCGGTATTATAAGAATACTACTATTAATTTTCTTTCCTTATAACATTGTCACTGAACACGTTTCGACTATCTAACCAAAATATTTTTTTTTAAAAGTAGTAAAATGCTGATGTTTCGCGACACTTATTGATACTGGAGCCTAAGTGTACTTAAACTTGGTGTTGTGATCAGATAGTATATATTCATACCTGTTGAACTGAAATAGATGTAAAATTCCTCAAATTTCTATGACTGAAAAATTCTTCTCTATATTTGGATTGTTAAAGCATACTTCGTAGTTGTGCCAACCCGAATTTATGTGTTTCATTAAATGAAATACAGACAAATTATTTTTATTTACCCTATATAGTGTTTCTCCTCGATGTATGTTTCTATAGTATACAGTTTGACAAATAATTTGGTAATATTTAAATTACTTTAAATAGAACATACCTACTACATATTTAAAAAAAATATTTTAGGTCATTGGTTTTTCATTAATAGATAATTCTAACTGGCAATGTCTGGTTTGAATGTTTATTTTTCTTTTATCTAGAGCGTTGTAGCAAAAACTTAGTGGTATTTGACGTTAATTACAAGAGTTTAAAACAAAGAAAATTAATTCCGAAGTGTATTTGCCGTATAACGTATACGTACAGTATGTAGAAGATAACTTTCTAACTTGCAGGACATATTACCTAATCAATAAACTTATATAAGGGCTAATGTCGCCGGAAGAGAGGTCGACCCTCGGTTTGACTTTAGTAATAACTACACTTGCTACTTATAATTTTCGAATGTCCGTCAATGGCCTGAAGGGCAGGACTTTGCCTTCCCCGGTTAAGGCGGTTTTTTATTTAGTCTAAAAAAAAGGGTACGTGTATGCGCGTAAGAAGTTCTTTGGCATTATTAAAAATAGTTTTTGATTGCATGCAAATAATTAATTACAATTAAATAATCAAAGACTGGAAAAGGAGTCATTATAGTCAATAAAGTTCAGTTTACATTTGAAAAATTAAATAAATAAATATTTATTAATATTATATTTATATTTATTATTATTTTCTAATATTAATTAGTATTGATTTAAATATTCAATTTAAATCACTTCTGATTATAATTCAGACGCACATATAAAATTCGCACTTGTATAATGACAACACGTGTTTTAAATGTAGAAACTCAAAGCATGTGGATAAATATTATAAATATAAATACTCAGTGAACAGAGGCGGCGTGCGTGCCAACATGCGCCACTAACTTCATTCTGTTAATTTTGTGTCACGGTGCGCGCGCATCGTAAAATTTCACTCTCATCAATTATTCATAACGCGCCTAAAGAAGTATAACTTCAAAAAACTCTGCGGCTTTCAAATGGTTATTAGCTATTGCGATGGGATCATCCGGATCCGTTAAAATATGTCGGGGCTTCAAACAGGCCTTTGTTGTCGGGTAGGGGTAATTGAGAACCTTACCAAACAGTGCCTGTAGTAGCAACCCGAATTTCTGATGAACAAGTTTCGTAAAACTTCGTGTTCCTTCCGTGACCGAAACCAAACAAACTACATAGTCGAATGGCAGTCGTGGGAACGAGTGACAAATGAAAGGTTTAAAGTGCTAATAATCACTATTACTATCGAATCAAATCCACTACGATTAACGGTTTTTAACTGATTCGACTTTGACGTTGTTGAGTTATAGGCTCTGTGATATAATATAATGACAATGGCAGCGACATTAACGTCATTACTCTGATATATACACATCTAGTATCAGTCTTGCAGTCAATTAAAAGTTAAATCCTCTTAACCTTTTCCGATTAAAAGTTAAGTTGAGGATTATGGAATCAAAATTTATGAGTGATGTTCCTTTTATATCAGCAGAATGTTTTAACAGTAATTTAGCATAATTTATGCCCTGATATGATTTTAATAATACGAGTACACTGAATGTTGCTCCGAGCTTGGCTTAGTTATAAATACCGTGACGAAATTCGTTTAGAATCAAGATAAAAATACAAACACAGGTAAAAATCTTTATTGTTTATTATGCTTTTCTAATGGCCTACATTTTTTTTCTAATATATTTATTGAATTATATGAAATGTATTAAAATTTACACGTAATGTCTCACGTATCTTTGAAAATAAATAAACGTTTACAAAAATTAAATTATTAGGTTACAAAAGTTTTTGTGTACAAAAGTTTTATAAAACAGACTGAGTAAAACAGACGAAACAGTAAATTTCGTAATGTAAATTAAAAGACTCATGACAACAAATTTTTATTTTGTTTTTAGTTGCGACTAAGAAACCAAATGTTAAATTAAATTTAGTAATTCAAAAATAAATAGCTTTATAAAAGCAACTACCCCATAAGTAGAATTTAAAGAAAACAAAAACGCATTAATCTAGTCGGAAGTTTACAATGAAAGCTTGGGAGTTTGAAATCGCGGTTATTTATGTAACGATAGTGTCCCCAGAGAAAAATGAGTGTAAAGCGGTGAACCCCTCACTTCGCAGTCGCGATCTATTAAATTAAAGCAATTTATAAGTCAGCTCATAGCAACCCCAGCTATGAGCCGCAATGCGCAACAAGGGCTGTTCACGCTTCTGCGGAAATAACAAAGATTGCGATACCGAATGAGTCAAATATTTTTATGGATATTGTAGTTGGGCGCTAGCAAAGTTTTTCCCCAGTCAGCCACCCCGATGGGGTGATGGGGTACACAGGGGAGTTGACAAGATTATCAATAACATAAACGATCGAGTGTTTAGTTCTTAGAGTCACTACGATGTTTAATGTCAGCCAATGTTACTACAGTCTAAGATCATTGAACTATTCCAACTATGATGACCGTAAGGGTAATGTGATATGTAAAATTAATGTC